TTGAAAAATACTGAAATGTGATTGGACAAAAAATAATGTTGATCATTAACTCTAAATACTTGCTGTACAGACCTCCCACGATGACTGATGACACATGAATGAAATTCCCGAACAATTAGGGCTAAAAGGTTAATATAGTAAAACCGATGTTGAAAAACTCTTCACAAGACCCAAAGTGTGGTATGTTCGAATCCCAAATTATTCAGAAAATGATTATGTCACGGTATTGAACTGTTGTCTAATCAGGGGTAGTAGTTTGTAGACGACCGGATAGCTAAGTCAGTAGAGCCGCAGTACGGTATTCCGAGGGTCCAAGGTTCGAGTCTCGGTCGGGCTGCACATTAATCTCGCCATGTGACAATTATATAGACTTAAAAAATGGAGTTGTTTCAATCATTACTCATGAAGAAAAATAATTTTTAGTGAGTAAAGTATGTACGGGATCAAGTGGGAGAAAGGAACCTAATGATTCCTACAATGCAAAATTACGTGAATGCAATTGTTGTATTGCTTGGAAAATTGTACATCATATCTCTAATTAGTGTTGTACAACTAAATCCTACCGTCTGTGAGGCCTTAAGCTAATCAAAAGTACCATTTAAATAAATTGATACTAGTTCGTGGACAGAAATGGGTGACATATTTGCTCGTTGAAATATATATGAATAAGTAAAATAAGTAAAGTAAATGTAAAGTAAAGTAAAGGTAAATGTAAAGTAAGGTAAAGGTAAAGTAAGTATGGTAAATGTAAAGTAAGATAAAGGTAAAAGTAAAGTAGAGTAAAAGCAAACAAGCATTCAAGCATGCAAGCAAGCAAAGAAGTAAACATGCATTCAAGTAAGGAAGAAATTAAGTAAGCAAGCAAGCAAGAAAGTATTTAAGTAAGTAAGTAAGTAAGTAAGAATGTGAGTAAGTATGTAAGTGAGTAAGAATGTAAGTAAGTGAAATCGGTCAGCCAGTCAATATTGTAAATTAACCTGCAATATGTCACGTTGTCTTTCGTATGCATAAATAATGAAATAAAACTTTGTGTCGTTTATTTGTATATTATAAAAATAAACATGAGTAATGAACCTTAAATGTCATTACACTACAGACACTAACAGGTAGCATATATGAAGATTGTGTTGGTGTGCATAAATTTGTCACCCACTGGCCCCTACCAGGGCTCTTGTCTGCGCTCTTCCAAGCCTCCGAGAAATCGTGCAAACTATATTTTAGCCTAGCTACGCCACTGAAAGTTAAGGCCTTATCATTCATTACCGGAACTGATTTTTATAGATATATTTATTTAGTATTTAAGTTTGAAGTATTTAGGAAATAAAGAAGTTATTTAAAAAAGACAAGATTTTTTTTCATAAAAATTCTAAGTTCAAGGGAGGTAATACTGATAATTTTTGTGCTAGAGTTGTAAACCTTGTCACATATGATGTGGTTAATGACCAGAAACTTGTATTTAAAGTTTGAAGTAAACACCTTAAGAAATAAAGAACTTATAGTGAAATAACTGAAAAATTTAAATCAGAAATCTTGAAATTCAGGCTATTTGTTGCCATAGCAACCAGAATTTTCAACATAGGAAGAAAAGAAAAAGATGTGCATAATCTCCAGACTGCCATCTACCAATATGTCAAGTTTCATAAAAATATTTTCAGTACTTTTTGAGTTATCACTGGATCCAGTTTATGTGTTAAATTTGCCATATTTTCAGACTATTTGTTGCCATAGCAACCAAAATTATCAACATAGGAAGAAAAGAAAAAGACGTGCATAATCTCCATACTGCCATCTCTCTATATATCAAGTTTCATAAAAAATATTTTCAGTACTTTTTGTGTTATCGCGGGATCCAGTTTAGTGGACAGACAGACAGACAGACAGACGGACGGAGGGTAAACCTAAAGTCCCCTACGGTTAAACCGGTAGGGGACTAATAAAAAAATATTACCGAATTTTACATTTCATGTAAATAAAGGGAGGTAATAAAAAGTTTATTTTCTATAAAATCTAAGTCAAATTTTTCAATATGAAAAAAATGCATATATTTTAATGATTACATATAAATTGTACACATATTTGCAGTACATATTTTACATATTCTTCAATGTTTGAAAATTGTTTTATAAGCATAATTATATACATATATATAATTTCACTTAAATGTTTCAACATACAGGATCTTTAAACACTAGGTATAAGTTAGATTTTATTGAGTGAACATTTTAACAAGGTCACTCCCTAGGGGACACTTCGTTAACCAAGAATCTTTTAAGAATTTATGTACAATCATGTAGAATCTAATTTAGACTGTTCAAAGTGTAAATCTTGCAGAATATATGATCATAATTTTTCATATGAAAAACACATGAAAGTTCACATATATTTAACATATGAAAACTTATTCATATGAAAAACATGTGATAACCATGAGTTTAACATATGTTTGTTGACACATGTTTTTCATATGGTCCTGTTTACATATGTTAATCTTACATATGAAAAACACATGTTCTTAAACACATGTTTTTCAAAACACATGGAACACATATGTTCTACATATGGAAAACATATGGGGTACCAAACATACAGCAAACATGTGGTGCATATTTACCTGTGATAAAACACACTAAACTCACAGTGAATGAATATTTCTTTGTATTGCGTATTTAAATATGATGAAATTAAATTATTATTTGTAATAATTGTTCAATCAAAGCATCATATGAATCTATAACACACCTTTTTCCGATATGTCAAATTCTCAATCTAAACTGAAAGTAAAATGGCGCAGCAGATTGTTTTCAAATGGAGTATTTTCATTGGTCACATGAAAACCTCGGACCAATGAAAATCCTTTAAGCTGCGGTCTCACTCCGACAGAGCCCAGGACCATCCCGGTTAGTTACCGGGATGATCCGGGACGATCCGGGGTGAAATTATTGTTGCGGTCACACTTACCCCGGCAGCACTACGGTAGTTCCCAAATAACCACCCAGTATGCGCTCCGGATCATCCAGGCAGAGCCAAGGTGAAGCTACGGTTCATGCCGGATGACGCCGGAAGAGCCCCGGTTGACCAAGGCACAGCCCGGTCGATCCAGGCAGAGCCCAGGACGATCCAGGCAGAGCCCCGGTAGAACCCCAGTGCATTGAAAACGCCCGAAAATGATAGCATTGATATGTTCGTGAAGTTGGCAGCCTAGCAGCCTGAAGTTGGCAGCCTAGCAGCCTAGCAGCCTGGCAGCCTAGCAGCCTAAAGAAAACTAAGAATAGTACAAACATGAAAACCGTCGGAAATACATTAGTAGCACTTCTTTAGATCATTCCACGCCTTTTTCAATATCGTGATCTTTATTTTTTAAGATGTTGAACTTTATCGTAACATATTTTTTTCATTCTGACGCTTCGAAATTTGTGAAGTTAGCAGCCTAGCAGGATAGTACAAACATAAAACCCGTCGGAAATGAGTCGGTAGCAAATACCATTCCACGTCTTATTTCAGTATCGCGTACTTTATTTTTTTTAATAATTAATTTTTTTTTGACACTTCGAAAATAATGAAGTTAGCAGCCTAGAGCCTGGCAGCTAGCAGCCTAACAGCCTAAAGAAAACAAAGGATAATACAAACATGAAAACCGTCGGAAATGAGTCGGTAGCATATACGTAGACTATTCCACGTCTTTTTTCAGTATCGCGAACTTTATTTTTTTTAAATATTGAACTTTTTTTTGTTTTTTTTTGTTTTTTTTTGACACTTCGAAAATTGTGAAGTAAGCAGCCTAGCAGCATAGCAGCCTAAAGAAAACAAAGTATAATACAAACATGAAACCGTCGGAAATGAGTCGGTAGCACATACTTAGACTATTCCACGTCTTTTTTCAGTATCGCGAACTTTATTTTTTTTAAATATTGAACTTTGTTTTTTTTTTTTTTTTTTTTTGACACTTCGAAAATTGTGAAGTTAGCAGCCTAGCAGCCTGGCAGCCTAGCAGCCTAAAGAAAACAAAGGATAATACAAACATGAAAACCGTCGGAAATGAGTCAGTAGCACATGCTTAGATTATTCCACCTCTTTTTTCAGTATCGCGAACTTTATTTTTTTTTAAATATTGAACTTTGTTTTTTTTTTCTTTTTTCTTTTTTTGACACTTCGAAATTTGTGAAGTTAGCAGCCTAGCAACCTAAAGAAAACTAAGGATAATACAAACATGAAAACCGTCTGAAATGAGTCGGTAGCATATACTTAGACTATTCCAAGTCTTTTTTCAGTATCGCGAACTTTATTTTTTTTTAAATAATTAAAATAATTCAATAATAACTTCCATTTTGTGTATTGATTGACCTAAATTGTGCACAAACTTTTTTTAAAGGGACCTCGCAACAGGGCCCGTATGTAAACAACGACGTATTATTTACCAGCTTCGCATTTCTATAGTCCGTTTCAAACTGGCATCGAGAAACGAATACTTTTGTGTGCTTGTGTATCTACCCCCCTTCAGGCGGTAGCTGATTGTTTGTTGTTGTTTTTCTTTTTTTCATCTGTCATGATAATTATTAATTTTCCTCTTACAAATACCTTAAAAATAATATTGAACTGTGTGTAGAAATTTATTAACTAAAACCATGTCATGTGTTAATATTAACAAATATTCAGCTACTGTTATGTATACTCATGTGTTATATTATATGTAACTTGAGTTAATAAAGATATGTTCTGTTCTGATAATAATACTTTGTGACTTCAAACCGACGACTCTTAACTAATCGTTTGTGGTATGGTTACCACACTCATATAAGCATCATACATGTATTTTCAACTAAATATAACTGTGACACATATGTAATATATATTTACATATTTATTTCTTCAGTATCATTAACAAATTCGTATCCTAAATAGGCAACATTGAAGATAGCCAGCACCTGAATTTTCACTGTACTTATATTACATGTATATAGAAAGATGAGTCACTGAAAATTATTTTTCTATTCTCTTTTCAGAACTTCAAGGCGACCTGATAAAATTTTATAGACAAAGATGTAGTTCAATACCTCTGTCACCGCTTCTTGAAGAAGTAGAGACACCTTTAGCTGGGTTCTACGTGATGCCAGATATAGTCATCGTAAAGCAGAAGTCCCTTAATTCCATAGAAGAGGAGAGAATACCCGTCAAGTCTTTGAGGAAACTGTTTTTATTTGAAAGTCGCTACCAACAAGAAATGTATTTATCAGCTGATGCAGGCTTTGGAAAAACTGCTTTCTCAAAATATCTTGCAGTCACGTGGTGTCAAGCTCATTGTCACGATGAAAACTACGCCAGCTTTAAAAAGAGCGAGTTAAAAACGTTATTAGACTTTGAGTTCTTATTTTTGATTTTCTTAAGAGACAGTCCCTCTGTTTGTAAAATTTACGATATGATTGAACAGCAAATTACGGGGAAACTTCCTACTTCTGTAACACTATATGAAGTTTTACGTAGAGAAAAATGCTTGATTATATTGGACGGTCTTGATGAATGGACTCACCCTGATAATAGCTGTAGCGAAGTTACAGAAAAAATCCCACATCTATACGAAGGTAATAATTGTGTTATCCTAACGACAACTCGACCGTGGAAGCTTGGAGTTTCAAATCTCAAAACAAGTCAAATAAACAAAAAAGTAGAATTGGTTCAATTAAGTGCAGATTCTACGCGGAAACTTGAAGAAAATGCTATAAGAAAAATGACCGGTGTCCGTGACGATAGAGTACTGAAGAGTAAAAGGCAGGACTTTGATAATGTGATACGTGACTGTCGCTTAGAACACATGCAAGGGATTCCACTTCTCCTCATGTATATAGTTGCCCTATGGTGCAACAACATTCCTTTAGGAAATTCAAAACATGAAATTTACACCAAAATCATTGAATTTCTATTATCGAGAACGTCAAAGAAACACCCAGAAGTTCAACCATCTCGTGAATCGTCTGCCAGTGAAATTCCAGAATACT